CWMACKARWMASYTYTSSYYTSAMGKGMMCCYAWATATATATATATATATATATATATATGTGTGTGTGTGTGTGTGTGTGTGTGTGTACATTTCCATTACAAACCAGGTAACCATTTACCATCAAGAGCGTGTTATATGCAAGGGACATACATCATGAATTTTTGTACAAAATTCACGTGTATTATTCATGATGAATATGGAGACATGGTGCGTCTTTTGGTAGTTCCCCGGTTTGCAATGGAAATACGATTCTCAATCGAACTTTCTCTCTCTCTTCACACTTGCCGCCTTAAATCATGTTTTATAGAAGATCGTAAATTTCTAAGGCTTAAAGTTTGATCTTGCCATCGTGTCCTTAGAAAATAGTTTAGGTTTTCCTACTTTTTCTATGCAAATTATACTTTTTCATGCTTCTGCTACATGTCCCTCTTTGTTTTTTGTTTTTTTTATTAACCTGGATATTCAACCCACTATGCGAGCCGACTAATCCCAGGACGACTACCTACTTTGCAGATAGCCTGGAGTTACCGCATTTGAACCTCCGTGGCCACAAGGGGATTTTTATTCCTCCTTAAATTTGAACCTGAAACCTTCTGGTACTTTTGACCTTTGAAGCCAAGCTCAAACCAATCAGACACCACCCATGTGGTTTTCCCTCTTTGTTTTTGTTCTGCTCTAGCAGTTATCAATATTTAGCTTTGTGATTCTCTATTTGTTTTATTTTACCTCCCTTCTTGTTTCTTGTTTTTGGGCACTTTTGTTTACTGGTGTAGGAAGTCGGGATCGTCACGTACATTCTACCCTTAGATCCTACCCCCTATGTAAGATATACGTAGTTTTCAAAAAAGTAGTTCTAAAGCATGGGTAAAGGCTTGGGCATGACATAGTCATGAACCCGAGTTCGAGCCCTGGGAGGGGGGAGTTGGCGACATTTAAGTGGGGCCATGTTTAGCCTCCAAATTTGCCGGGGATTAGTCGGGTTTTGGCCCGGACACCCTTACAAAAAAAAAAAGGATCTCATCATCAACCACAAGGGTGGTGCCTGATTGGTTTGAGCTTGGCTCCAAAGGTCAAAAGTACCTGGAGGTCTCAGGTTCAAATCCAAGGAGAAATAAAAATTCCCTTGTGGCCACGGAGGTTCAAATATGGTGACTTCGGGCTATTTGCAAAGCAGGTGGTCGCCCTGGGATTAGTTGGCTCGCATAACGGGTTGGATATCCAGGTTAATAGAAAAAAAGGATCTCATCATCTCGACAGTCTGATCTAGATCATCGTGTTCACAACGACCTGCAACACGACATCTTCAACACATGCACCTACAGTGACCTTCACTAAAGCCCTAAAATTTTCAAAGTCGAACCATGAATAACTAAAACCTCAAAACAATTATTCTAATCAAATTCTAGGATCCTCTCCCACCACAATAAACCAAACGAACCTAGTAAATCCTAGGCAGAAGTGGGGTCCACAGATCTTGGCTCTAACTCAAAGGGGTAGAATGATTGTTTCTGTAGAAAAATCTCGGCTGGCAACACAAGAAGAGAGCAATTAAAAGAAACAAACTACAAGGACCAACACACGTTACATGTATGATGTAATCTCTACCCAAAAAGAGCAGAGCGGTTATTTCCATGAAAACCCCCGACTTGTGCAAAGTGTGAAGAACATTAATAATATTCTGATAGAATATTTACAATATTCTTGATGTAGAGTTAGACAAAATGCAAGTGTGCCTCAATTCTAGAAGAAAAACTATCATCTACCATATGAACCTCTGAACACCGGGTTCGTGGTCCCAATGAAAGGGCCGAAATAAGAACATAATCATTGAGTAGATATTGATGGATGTATAGAGGAATCCCATGAGGAACCACACTCTACCATTAGTCACATGACAATGAAGAAGTAAGAAAAAAAAGGGTATTGTGTAATATCTGAATTCTATCAGTGGAGCAGGAATAAGAACAGCAGCTGAAGCCAGGAAATAAGCCAATATCCATACTTTCTTCTGAACTTTGGCTGCCAGTAAAATTTATATGTGTTAACCAAGTATCCCAGTCAGAGATGGGGTGGGGGTAAGTAAGATGTATGCAGATGTGACCTCTACTCCCAAAGAGAAAAAAGTGGCTGTTTCTGTGAAGGCCCTGGCTTGTGAAAGGTGTGCAAAAGAGAGACATGAAAATTTTTGAGAAGTAAAATTTGTGTTAACCAAACCGAACGAGCCAGATATATCCCACTCGAAGATCAAGAGGGGCGGAGATGTTTGCAGACCAACCTCTACCCCAAAGAGCAAAAAGCGGTCCTTCCTTGACCTACCCCACTTGTGAAATGTGTGCGAAAGCAAGAAAGGCATATATTTTGAAAAGTAAAACTTGTGTTAACCAAACCACACAAGCCCAGTATATCCCTATCGGAGGTTGGGGGAGATGTATGCAGACATAACCTCTACCAAAAAAAGTAAATTGTGGTTGTTTCTGTGAAGACACACGGCTTGTGAAAAGTGCGTGCGAGGGAGAAAGGCATATAAGATAAATTTTGAAAAGGAAAATTTATGTGTTGTTCAGTGGAAATGGAACATATGGGAGGTAAACAAGTAATTCAAGTGGCATACTGACCTAACAAAGTAAAGATAGAAGTCCATGAGAAAACATATAGCGGAACCAGCAGGTATTTCGTTGACCAATGAGCATTTATAATCTTCCGCCATAGATAAAAGGGATAATGGCGATTATCAGCAAGTAGATAGGGGTGAGCAATGCTGAAATGGTAGAAAAAGCATGTCATGAGTGAAATATCTTATCAAAGTACACTATAAGTAGAAAATTAGAAGCGTGCAGAAAGTTATCAGATCCAATTACAACCGACCGTCAAAATTAGATATTCTAATTGTAATTTGATTGGATCCAAAATTTCATTATCCAAATTGGATCGTTCAGTTGTTTGATGACAGTTCAAAATCCAATAAAACCTAACTGAATCAATCCAATTACCATTAAATTATATATATATATATATATATATATGTTGATTTAAATGGTTGGATAACAGATTCAAAATACTGGATGGATCCAATACAATCCAATAAATAACCTATAGTAATATCTAGTGGATGAAACTTGGATTTGGTTAGTCTAGGGCTGAAGAAAAGAGGGGGGGGGGGGGGTAAATGCAGAGACAAGGCAACTGAGGATTGGATCAGTTGCCCAATGTTGATTGGATTGGATCGGTTGTCGAAATTCAACATCCAAAGGATGATTGAATTGGATCGGCTCCATCCAAATCATTGGATATTTGGATGTGAACTGATGAACACCCATACTAGAAATGCATGTTATAGGAATCAATTTAATGGTTTAGCACTTGAGCTTTTATAATTCTAAATGATTGAACTAGAAAATGAAGATAAGAAACTACGAACCATTAAATTTGAATCCTAAGATCAAAAACTAGGAAATGGAATGAAAATCACAACCTGGGATTCTTATGTACTCCTAGTCTGATCGATATATTTTCTTTGCATAAAAGACAATCATCGGATATAACCAATTACTGCAAGAAATTGGGATTTAAATATAACCGAGCAGGTGGGAGACCAAACCTGAAATAGTGCACCCAGAGAAGGCTAACTACGGCAGCAAGAAACCACAATAAAAAACTAAGGGGTCGATTCTTCCAGAATGACCTGGCCAAAATTGCAGCTTGACTTGTACCAAAGTGCACAGGAGCCATAAAACAAGAAGAGACTAAACCATAGTACAATAACTGAGCAAAATGTGGAGAAACCGTATGAGCTTCTTTAGCCCCTGCAAAAGCAAATACAAGGCGAAACACATTTTATCACCATCCCACTCTTTAAAATCCATGAGAAGTGGCTTCATTTATGAGGGAAGGCTAGTTGCAAAAAAAAAAAAAAATAACAGACGTGAAAGAAAAAAAAAAGAAGCAAAAGCAAATATTGTAAACTGGAAATGGAACTGAGAGTTACCAAGAACTATGCTGCCATTCCATACAACAAATGCAGCAAAAGCCGCCAACACTGCCAAGAAAGGGCTAAAAGAGACAAAAAGCTCCCACTTCAGATGCCAGGACGCTAATATGATGCTCCAAATCTCACTAAACCAACCTGCATTAGAAGTATAATGCAAAAGAGTCTAACAATGATACCTAGAAGTGATCTATATCCGTATGCAGATCTTTAGACATTTAAAGAATTCTCCATGAAAATTAGTGTTATTTTATTTGCATGAAACAACTCACTTCATCTTTATACAGATCAGGATGGAAATGTTTTTTTGATAAACAATTTGACTCCAGATATTACCTGTTCATGCATGGGAATCATGTGTCATGCCCCATTAAGAACGTTTAGGCATAATATAGAGTCCTAGCACTAAGAAATTTGGAGCCATTATGCAAAAGAGGATTAATGTGAGATATTGGTTTCATTGTTTAGACCAAAAGGTAAGGAGGGAGTGTGAGTATATTTGTTACATTTGCTGTATATAAATATTACATACTTCAAAAAAGAAGATGCAATTAGATTGGAGTACGACAAAACAAACAGCTGATATTCTTTCAATAGCTCTTCCAAGAAAGTTGTTCGTGCATATGCATCCAAGTTCTGCGTAATTGACATCCATTGACCAAGTTGAGGGGAAATGTTGTAATATTTATGTTTCAATGTAAATATTAGACTGATGTAATTAGGAGCAATCTTAGGGATGTAATTGAACATTCTACATCGTTGTTTATATTTTATATACATACGCCCTCAAACTAAGTATCTAGGTCACTCCATTATTATTTTCTCCAAATCAGACTCCACAAGCTCTTATGTTACCATGATATTGTAATTGCATATGATTTTTCTAAATTGGAAGCATCATGAGTCGGTGCCTACTTTCATTTTTTTCATAATTTTCAATTTCTTTAGTAACACCCTGGTACATGCATCATAGCACTTTTTGGGGGTTGCACCATGGTTACTTGAAACTATTGCATCATAGGGACTGCATACTTGCACATTCTGACGGGGAGCAAAGTTACAGATGCATTGCGTAATGCGTGTTAGGGCCTGTTTGCTTCTTTTCTCATTAATCCCTGTTTGGCTAAAGAGGGTACATATGGTGTAAGTGGTAAATGAACAATTGTTGTTTGTTTTTGTGTGTTGAATGAACCATTTGAATGACAGAAATTAACCATTTTAACCATCTGTTTGAATTAAGTGTTAAATGAAAAATGATTGTTTTTTTGCTAAATCTTTTGGAGGAAATTCTAAATGACAAAAAATTATCAGTTCTATAAATTATTTCAATAAAGAACATTTAATCTAATATAATGATAAAAATTCAATATAACAGAATAGATACAAAATTCAGCAAAAAAGAAGGTTGTAGATGAAATATTAGATGGGTATAATAGGGAGAAATATTGGCTTACTCTTTCAAAGGCATTACCTATGCACTTGTATGATTAAGCCATCGACTTGATGAATAAGCCGTAAACAAAAAAAATTGCAGAGCAATAAGTCATTCTCCCCATTAACCTTATTACCTCATTCTTCCATAAATTATTAATTCAGGTGTAAGAATGAGAAATATTTAGGTAGCAAATAGCCTCGATGAGCTATAACTAAGGTGTTTACAGAACACCGTTTACCCAACCGTGTCCATTCTTATGAATATATTACAAAAGTAAAAACATCCTTTAAAGGGCTACTGGGCAAAGAGAAAAGAAAAGAAAAATAACCATGAAGGGATTTTAATTGTTTTCCATTGTTGCCTTCTTATAAAATTTTACTCTCAGCCATGCTTGTGTCATACCACAATATTAAGATGAGGCAAACCTGATGAATTGTCAGGAAGGCAGGGAAGACTTGTTCCACGGACAGAATGACTGACAGTGCTGATAGCACTACCCGATCTTCGCCTTTTCAGGTTGGAGCTGATGCTATCACCTCTACTGGAAGCAAAGTGGTCATCTATAGGTACTGATAACAAATTCTCTTCATGTTTTTGTTTAGCTTGAATAAGATCTAGAACTCCAATACATGCAACAAATAGCATCCAAATGATATTTGTTTGTCGCACAACTACGGCTACAACTCCAAGCTGCATTAAAGTTAGTTGAAATTAGTTACTGCAAGAAGACACATTCATCATGATATTGCCAAAAGTGTCAAAATTATCAACTGAAATTGAAAAAATATAATGCAGCCTACATTAAGTAAATCACTTTGTATACAAGTAGAATAGAGAAAATCCATATAAGGTAATCCAAATGTCTACTTTAAAGCATGTTGTTAAGTTGTTCAGTCTAGCACCTATGATCAACATGCAAGACCTTTAAACAGTCCTATTTATCAACTTCATGGAGACAGTTACAACACATGAACCCTATGCTTTTAGAGCAAAGGCCAATGAACTTCAAAGATAAAATCTGCATCAAAGTAAAACAGTACACACAAGCTGTTGTTTCTTGGTTAGAAAGATATAATGTAAAACAGATCCATTTAAGAACCTTTAGCAGCCGATGGTATTCTCTATTGTTCTGAAGTATCAACATAGATGATGGGAAGAGTTAAATGAACCCATAAGCTTTCAAACTTTTGCCTTTACTAGAGGATGCTTATAATGTTTCTAGTTTGGTGGGTTACAAGAGAAATATTAGACATAGAAAGGCGTGAGATGGGATTATGGGCCACTCACCATTCACCACTCATCAAAATATGCCTGCTACTAAACAGGGATGAAACCCCAATGAACTCATGTGCATTTATGCCAAATTACATCATTGATATAGGATCTAATACATGTCTAGGTCACATGTGCACTCCTAATATAGAGCACACTGTCTGTTAAAGTAGAAACAATCAGATCACTATCTCTGTGATAAGACACAAAGAAGGAGCGCAGGCTTTCTAAGATCTCTCCTCCTCCCATCCCACCTATGACTCCATGCAACAAATCCTTCAAAGTTCAAGCTTCGTGACATAAATATGGGAAACCCAAGTCAGCAATAAGCAAAAACAGTAAATCATGTCTATCATTAATGCCATGCCAAAAGCTTCACTTCACACTCTAACTCATGGTAAGATTAAGAAGAGTAATAGTATGAGAAAATAGTTCTCAACTTCTCTAAGATATGAGAAGGACAAAAGAAATCTTGAGGAGAGACATGCATTGTGACCCTGACAAAACTTGTAATATCGTCCCTTCTCTTCATAAACTACCAAGCACCCTCTTGTACAAGAAACATATGGAGAAATCTGATGAAAGAGTGGTAATGTCAGGCTCAATAATTCACGGAAATGACAGTTTTGGACTTGTTGAGGGAGAGGGAAGAATGATGTTGCAAACTGAAATCCTAAGTCTCTCCACCACATAAATATTAAGACCTTGGCATGTTATGATGTTCAGTAATACATATCAAGACCATCGTCTCTGATGCAGGGAGGCTGGGAAACTGAGGAAGATTTAAGATTTAATGCATCAAGCAAACAAGAAAAGGTTTAAACACTCTCCCATGACCCATTAAGTACAACTGCAGATACAAGTTAAGACACAGTAACTTCATGGTGAATGCAACTCAACCAAACACTAATGGAACATGAATGACAATAGCAAAGGCAAAAATCAATATAAAGCCAATTATTACCAAAGCACTGCACAGGTAGTTCTTCTTCAAACACATAAGATACATAGCAAGAACTACCGCCAGTGATGCAACATCTGTATAGTAAAGAAAAGTGAAGAACCAGTGAAGTGGGTATAGGGCTAGAACAACTGTGTAGAGAGTTGCTTTTCTGTCGTCTAGGGATGGCTTCAAAGATATAACTATATCATGAACCAATATGCTGCAAATTACAGCCAGGAGACCATTGGTAGAGCGAAGAACTGCTATCGAGCAGGCATTAATAAAAGACAAAGCTGGTTGTATAAATAGCAGGCCGGGAAATAAAGAAGCAACATAAGCAAGTGAAAGGAAATACCTGCAAAAATTTTGTAAACAAATTTCTGTTAGCAACAGTTTTTTTTACTTTAGAATCAATGAATTCCTCTATGTAGCATTTTTCCCTTGCCATAGTTTGAAGCAACTACACGATCTATGTTCTTTAACAATCAAAGCCAGGTTGACTTCAGTTTAGTTGATTTTTCATACCTATTCATGAAGATGAGGGTCTGGAGATCCTAGCATGTAACACATGAATTCCAAGGCAATCCTAAAAAGACAAGGATATGGTGGTGCATATATGTGTACGTACAGTATTAGTCTAAAACCAAACCAATAAAAGAGAAATTATCTTCAAAGTTGATACATCATCATATATATGTGTGTGTATAGTAAGCACAAACTTCACTTTAGACATTCTGGTTTTAGTTTTAGTTGTGCACCCGGAATAGTCCAAAATATGCAACATAGTTACAAACTTGGTGTTGTATAGACATTGTTACAAAAGCCCAATCCTAGCTTGTTTAGAAACCTAATCCTAGTTTGTTTAGAATCCTAATCCTAGTTTGCTTTAAATACTTTTCTTGTAATCTATTATATATCCTTATCTCCAAGTATTTATGTTTCTCTTGTATATGTATATGGGTTTTCAGCATAATAAGATACATAACAGTCCTGAAATATATTTATACATCAGGCAACCTGTGAAAGTTAGGTGTATTAAAAATATTGGACATGATGGGTGAGGCATGGGTGCAGCACAGGTGTAGCATTCCTTGTTCTTTTAGAGGGCTCAATTCATTTTTTGTCATTCAAAATTCCAGTGGCAAGAATATTTCAAGTTCCAAAAAGGATTAGAACACTTCTAATGTGTTAAACATATAATAGTAGGGATGAAAATGGGCTAGGAGGTGGGTCAATTAGTCAATAAGTGAGGTAAGGTTGTTAGGGGAAGTATAAATAGAAGCAGAGTGGAAGCGATTAGGTATTGGTTTTGTAATCAATTGGGTGTAACCCTTAGGAGGGTTTTTCGCCTCTCAAAAGCCAAAGTGTCTCGTAACTATTCGGTTATGAGTGAATAATCAAATCTTTCTCTTGTTTTGTTGATAACTGGTAGTTAGTGTAACAAAATGCTTAGAGATTTTATATGTATTATTATAGAAACATTAAACATAAAACATTTACACTAATGGCACCTATAGATAATGATTTTGGTGTTTGATTTCTACTTATCTCCATCCCTCTCGTATTTATTTTCTTATACATATGTTCTTATGCTCTCTGTTTGTTTTTGTTGTACCGTACACCTCGTTGTTTCCTGTTGACATTTGTTCTATATTTCTTTGTTTGTTGGACATGCCATCCAAATAGGGTTTAATGATAAAGTGCTTTGGACTAGGTTTTTATGGGTTTACCAAATGTTACAATTTTTTAGGATTCAAACCCACATACCTCATAAACACACCCATTGTCATGCACCTTAGGTCTAAGCTATCGAAAAACAATTGGGTGGGTTGCCTTGCTTCCTTTATCTCACTCATAGGCATATATTTATTTGTGAATTTTCATCTCTCAACTTATTTAATGACCAAAACTACGTCTCCCATATCCCCTTCACCATATTTGTGGTCAACAAGTTGAGGATATGGTAAATGTTGCACCTTGTCACACCGTAGAGAAGTACACTTCAAAGCACCTGATATAGGAATTTGGGAAAAAGTAAATAAAAGCCCCTGCTTCCTAATTCATAATCAATGAGTGAATTGTCTCAGCTAGATAGATCAAACATATAATATCTAAATCCCTATCTTGTAGCGAGTACGATTTAATCCCATTGCCTTACAACCAAAAGATCTTTTGTCTCATGGTAGCCTGCTCCAGAGTCCAGCCCCCTTACGAAACTTTCATTATGCTAAAAAGTTCAGAGAAAATGTTAACAACTACACAAGTATCATTCTAGAACCAAAGCACGTTTAGCTTTGATTCATTTCATATATCTAACAAAATACTAAATTTGAATTCCTGTTCTATTGTGAATAATTTTAATATGAAAGCATATTCAACTCAGGCTTCTTAACACTTCCAATAATATATATATAAACACACACACATCAAATATCAATTTCATCAATGGAAAGGGTGAGATGCAATTGCAACCTTGATGTCCTTGCATGCAACAGGAGAAAAAGAATCATGCAGAGTTCAACATGATTGATCTTTTAGGTTTTTCTTAGTTATTTTTTATAGACTTACTATGATAATTGAACTGATGTCAACTTTTTTCTTATATGTTCCATTTTCTTTTCAGTTTTGAAACTATGATTCTTTACCCTCCGAAATATTTTGGCATCTATCAAGAAGAATTCATTCACATGAAATGTTGTATGTTGATCACTTTACATGAGACCAAAAAACCAAGTTTTTACACTCAACTCCTCAAACGAGAATGAGCAACGACTGTTGAAGCAACCTTACAATTGATTTTTTAATAAAAGTGGGAAAATGGCCTCAATGCCGCTAAACTCAACTACCACGCAATTATGATGATTGAAACACAGACATCAGTTCAAACGTCAGATTCCTCTTGCCCACAAATAACATGCAAGAAAAAGCAAGAATTAAGTGAAGGAAAAGAGAGAAGCCGTGGTGAAACTTACAATCCAGGGGGAGTTGTTATCATAGGATCCCAACTCTTGAATTTTCCTGCACAATACTGCTGAGCCTGAGGAACATGAAAGATCTCATCCTACACCAACATTTCAACTTTAGTAAATTAACATCAACAGTTTCTAATTGATCTGTAAAATTACTTTGTAAATATTGGTACCATGTATGGTTCAGGAACAATGTGATTGACAAGGATGGACATGGGTATAACCCATGAGCTAACAATTAATGCAACTGTAATTCTACCCATTTTTCACTCTCTTGTAACCGAGTCACGATTCCTTTGACTTGGGTCCGACTTCCACTGAAAGAGGAAAATTACAAGAACATACAACATTTAAAGCCTAATTGTAAGAACATATAAATCAAATTAATGCAGGTAATAAAACAAAGGGGATGGATCCCAAGTAAGCAATGCACCACCAGGAAAGAGACTGCATCTGATGATCAACACTAATTAGTTGTTGGTTGAGAAATTTCAGCTGAAAGCAGAGACAACGAAACTATAACTTCATCCCACAAGCCTAACACAAGAAAATATATATACAAAACAGACATCCCCAACTAGCTCAAATCCTTGATAGCTAAAAGCACAGATAGATATAGAGGTACAGTAAACATAAATTCAAAACTTATTCTAAGAACATTTTCCAGAATCTGGAATCATATATGTACATGAGATTCATCTTATAGCTACAAAAGTAGTAAAAGCCATAGAAATTGTTCAAGTATAGCTGTGAAAAAAATAAGTGAAATTTGTCAATGTAATGTGACTAATCCAAAGACATCGAAAGACCTCTAGTGCAACAAAGAAATCCCAAAAATTAACAGACCATCGATTCAAATTCTAAGAAATCGAAGACACCAGTAACTCAAATATGAAAGAAATTGAAGACAGAAACCCTAAGTAGAAATCAAAGTAGCGATGCTTACTCTGCAGGTGTTTCAGACTTGACGAATCGTTGCAATCGAGCAGATGAGTGGGTTGTTCTTCATGTTAATTGAACTCCATCTATACATGGAGTATGAGATCATCTCCCAGATTCTCCATTGAAAATGGTTGAAAAACAATGATTTTGTTATTTATTTATTTTTTAGATGTGAAAAAAAATGATTTTCTTATTTTCTTTAATCAATAAAATTACATTATTATTATTTTATTTACTTTTTATAAATTTATTAAATGATAAAATTTAATGCAATACCAACATTAGAATCTTTAGAATTTTATTTGGAAATGTGAAGTGTGTAAATCTATATCTCAAAAAGGCTATATATGACTTGCAAGTATCGTCTAAAACAAATAATAATGATATGGGTATCAACAACGAAATGCAGTGAACGTTGCTACAACATAACACAAAGGTCGCTGCAATAATAGCTCTCTACAATACTACTGGATTGAACGGTCTTCCAAAAAGTGCAGATTAAACCATATGTTGGAAGTGCACTTGGTGATACATCAATCCAAAACTAGTACATATCTTGTCTTTCTTTCCATGTAGTTTTACAGCCCCTAAGATTACTGCGACTTTTTATAGTCTCTATAACAAACTTAGTAAAAATATTTGCGTTGTCTTAATTTTAAGTCCAACTCATCTGAATAAAATGGCATATGTCAGTTTGTCAAATATTATCGGATGAAATATTGATATCACTTGTGAATCGTGAAGTAAATTGCTATTAGCAGAACAATCATAAACTAACATTTGTCTTAATCTCACAACTTTCACTTACACCCACACTAGGGTACTTAGCCTAGCATGATTGAATGTAAGTGTTTAAAAGTAATTGACATGAATGTAAATAACTGTATATAAATGACGTAAAGAGTAGAGTGAAAGTTGTAAAGGTTGTTGTAACAACTAACAACTAACAGTAACGAAGAACAACATTAAAAGTACTAAAAACTTTAAAGTGGTATTAAAAGTAGTAAAGACCCAAAGCTTAGATGAAACTTTGTTCTTGATGGTATATCTAAAACAAAAAATTACCCCAATATATATAGTAGCAAGGGGAATCAAAAAATGCTTAAAAGGTACAAAAGTAAATTATCTAATGGTTATTAACCAAAAAGTAATACAAAAGATGCTTAAGTACATGAACAAGGCATATTTAGCAGCATCTTCTTTCACTAATCAGCTACCAGCATTACTAGAAGATGCCCTCCTCCAAAATTTGATTTCCAAAATATATATCAAGATTGAGCTGGTTGTGCCAATATACAGTGTTGTAGCAATATACACACCTGTTGCAGCAATGCTTAAGCCAACATTTTATTTACCAAATACATAAAACAACATCATTCCTACATCTTAGCTCTATTAAATGTAAAACATAAAATAAGATTAAAATACTCAATATAAGATTAGAAAATGTGTAAAATGAAGTAAAATAAAGTTCTAATCGAGTGTTAAAGTGTATGTTTTTGCACACTTATCAAACTGTAATTTTATTTTTAATTTTTTTATTTAAGAAACTAAGGAAAAAGATACTAAACCCTCAAAATTATTATATTAATTATAATGAAAAACATGTTAATCTATACTATATTATAAAGCATTTGACAAAAACTGTCACACCCCGCTAAAGCGGAAACACGAGGTATGGCAGGTAGAGTCTCATAGCAATAGAGTATAAACAACACCACCATACATTAAAATTTCATTACAATACATTTTAGCGTTTACATTCCCAAAACAACAAGTTTGTGAAATATATAATAACAAAAATTTCGAAGGTGATGATCAAAACGCTGCTTCTTTTTAAATGTCACCATGAGCCTTTCTTACCCCTAAAAAGCACGTTAAAACTAGTGTCAACTACAAGAGTTGGTGAGTTCACAGGTTTTTAAAATAAAAAGTAAGAGTTTAACTCGCAAAACGCTTTAATCCGCATAATGGATAAGTAACTGGTAGTTTGTAACGCACAAGGTAAGTTGTATGCTTAAATGCTAAAGCCACGAGCCCACTACCAAACCTAATGACAGCACCCCGCGACTACATGTTCTATCGCCAACATGAGTACTATTATTCTCACGTCCTACCTCAGCGGTGAAATAAATCCACATGTGTAAGACCCGTCTTGTATAATTCTCGGGTCGTACCTCAKCGGTGAAATAAATCCACATGTGTAAGACCCGTCTTGGTAATTCTCGGGTCGTACCTCAGCGGTGAAATAAATCCACATGTGTAAGACCCGTCTTGGTAATATGCACTTCTAACTCGTCAGTCAAAAGTGGGTTGTCAATCCAAATAGCGCTATCCATAATTACCAACGGTTCATATAATGAATTAATAGGTAGTGTAAAGGGAAAACAGGGATTTAAGAGCGATAGCAAAAGAAAACTCAGGCAACTAACACAAGCATACATACCAAAGTGCAATAGCAGTAAGAATAATTTAACAATTCGCGTATAATAAAACAACCGGTACGTAGTATTAGTAGCATGTTTTTCCCCCAAAAATACGAAAATAGTAAAAGGGGGCTGTGAAAACTCACATTTTCTTTCAAGGAGAAGATGGTTGTGATCGAATGGGTGTACCTTGGTAAAGTCCTTTTAGAGGATTCCTATAGAAGACGAACGGTTGTCAAACTCTTAAAGATTAAGGTTACTATTCTTACCTTTACGTCTTATATAATGCATCTTTATGAATAAAATCAAGTTTTAAGCACTTTATATGCTTATAATAKGGTTTATGGTTTAAGAGTCCAATCTTAGTGATTTTAGGAAATTATGCATGCTGACAGAATCTTTGTGACTCAAATATGTCTATGGTTCACCCTCATCCAAGAGGTATATTTTTCCAAAAAATTTATATGTTTTATTTTAATGTCTTAGGGAAAGTTTGACATAAATAGCACCATTTTTAGTGGGGGATAGGTATTCTAATCATTATACTCAAGTTTAAGTGTCACAGTTACCAAGGCAGCCTGCACACTCTTTTTGCCACATCCGAATGGAAGGTCAAATCTCAATATTTTTCAGGTATTCTAATTGGGTTTTAAAACTAACTCAAATATCTATCTTCCAGAAAAAGAATCATCATTTTTATTACGTTTGCAGGAAGTTATGGTCATTTTAAGATACATGTCCAAATCTGCTAGATTCTGCTTACATGCACACTCAACTTAGTTTGCGTGTTTGAGACCTCAAATCTCCATATTTTTTAGTGAAACCACTTTCGTTCGGAAGATAATTTCCAGAAGAAGAATCAAGTATTTTAATGGGATATTAAGTGACCGATTAAAGTAGAGTTTTTACTCTTACAGGTCATCCCTTGCACTCTAATTTATTCTTTGTGGTTGAGAGGTCAAATCTCCGAGTTTTTACATGAAACCACTTGGGTCTGAAAAATAACTCAATGAACAAGGCTCCAGAAGAAGAATCAAGCCATTTGACTAAGTATTTTTCAAAATA